CTGAGCAGATACATCCCACAGTGACCCCACGGTGAGCAGATACATCCCACAGTGACGCCATGCTGAGCAGATACATCCCATATCTATATAAAAAAGATTACAGTGTATCATCTACACATCTATAGTTTGTCTGCTTCCTTATTGTCTAGAACAACAATTTGCATTGATACAGCATTTTAACATGTGCTTCACATGTATAATGACCAAATAAAATGTGACATCAAGTCACTTATGAAGATATTAGAACAAAACCTTGGCCTTATGGAACAGCTTAAAGGAGGTTGACAGGTGCTGAGCTTTGCGTGGATGTCAGTGTTACAAAATGCTCATTGTTTGACTATAATCTGCCAACACACACTGTGTTTAACAGACCAATATCCAGATATCATATTTGGCAGCAAAAAGACTTTCATAGGTTTCCAAGCTTATTATTTTTATTCATACATTTGTGGGATGTGAGTGTCACTTACTTGGCCAGCATTTCTTGCCCGTCCCTAGTTGCCCTTGAGAAGGTGGGGGTGAGCCGCCTTCTTGAACCGCTGTAGTCAATGTGCTGTGGGTTGACCCACAATGCCCTTAGGGAGGGAATTCCAGGATTTTGACCCAGTGACGGTGAAGGAAGTCAGGATGGTGAGTGGCTTGGAGGAGAACTCGAAGGAAGTGATGGCGTTCCCATGTATCTGCTGCCCTTGTCCTTCTGGATGGAAGTGGTCGTGGGTTTGGAAGGTGCTGTCTGAGGATCTTTGGTGAATTCCTGCAGTGCATCTTGTAGATAGTACACGCTGCTGCTACTGAGCTTCGGTGGGAGTAATGCAGTGGCAATCAAGCAGTCTACTTACTTCTTTTTAAAGTATTTGGTAAAATTGGTAATAACTGTTGAGGTGTCTTTGAATGTACATTCCTAATAACTTATGACACGCTCGTTAAGCAATGTAAACATGGTCTAATTTGATGAGAGAGTGATTGGCTAATTGCACACAGAAATTCACCAAAGATACACAGCATCTTACAAACCCACAACCATTTCCATCTGGAAGGACAAGGGCAGCAGATACATGGGAACACCACCCCCTGCAAGTTCCACTCTAAGCCACTCACCATCCGCACTCAGAAATATATCGCCGTTCCTTCACTGTCGCTGGGTCAGAATCCTAGAACACCCTACCTAGTGGAATTGTGGGTCTACTTACAGCACATGGACTGCAGCAGTTCAAGAAGGCAGCTCACCACCACCTTCTCAAGGGGCAATCAGAGGCTGGCCAATAAATGCTAGCCCAGCCAGTGATTTCCATGTCTGATATTTTTTTAAAAATCCTTCATTTTCTCAAGCTTCACAATGTATCTCAAGCTGACTGATTCACTATGTTACACTATGTTGAAAACATAGTGCTGGTTTGGAATGCAAGACTGACTGAAGGTCACGGGAGAAGCTCAAAAGCATTTAGAAACAAACACTGACCCTAATCCTAAGTGATACATAACCAAAGGTAGTGACTTAACCAAACACAACTCCTCTTACCAAAAGACAGGAAGAATTTTGTCTGGACTGTGCTAGACAGCTCATGAATCCCACATTCCATTACCACTATCTCTCACCACTACCACACAAAAACACAGGAGTGATGGAATTAAGGGCAAAAGACAACACTCCACTAACAAGAATACAGAACAGACCACAAGATGGCCCAATCTTTGACATTCAAAACTTAGATTCATAGAATCATACAGTGCAGAGAAGGCCCAGTAAGATTTGACATTAAATGATCTATGAACCTTAGTGCAAAATACAGAGTGCAGTAGTCTATTCATTTTTATTCTGTAAATCAAGAAGCCCTTTATTTTGAGACAACAAGGTGCAGGGCTGGATGAACACAGCAGGCCAAGCAGCATCTTTAAAAGGCTGTTGTGCACCTGGTCAAGCACCATCAGTCCAATGCTGCACTGCACGGTTCCTGACATTTGCCACAGAAATGAGAGACAGGGAAAGTCAGCACCTTGCCTTATGAGCATTGACCTGGAGATCCTACTGGAGGGTGGTGGACTTCCTCTTCCCTCAGGACCAGCATGGAAGGCCACAACATCATGCCATGCCTACCTGGTCTGAACTTGTCACCCAAGTCGGTGCAGTCTCACCATTTTGTGGAATGCAAAACACAGTGGGAGGAAGAGCAATCTACTCCACTCTGCCGGCTTATGTTCCACCACTTTCTCTCTGCTATGGCACACTGATTTTATCTTTGCCACTATGCTCAACTCCCACCAAGGCTCATGTTCTACCAGTCTCACTAGGGTGCAGAAAAGATTTACAAGGATGTTGCCAGGACTGGAGAGTTT